TCATTAACCAGTGGAAATGCCCTTCATATCAAAAATTGTCTGTCTAGCCAAGTTTTAAAATCTTATATCCAGCCAAAAAATAAACATATTTTTGATCTTGTTTTGAGACGGGTTTACTAAACAATAACAGAATGTGTAAAATTAATAAACTTGTTAGGAGAACAAAAAAGATTATTTATTTTGTAATCCTGGAAATTTGACTCAAATTAAGTGAAAAATCTGCCAATAGAGTAACACAATTTCACTTGGTAAGATTCTTGAAATAAGACAAATTTGAGTCAATAAAGTGATTTCAAGAAGTGAATTCCACTTCTCTCCAGCTAAACACGCCAACAAATCTACTCGCTCTTTTACGTCCAAGTGAAATTTTCTTACTCTATTGGCAGATTTTTCACTGAATTTGAGTCATGTTTCCAGGTTTGGGATTGATACTTTATTCATTTCATTTAAAAAAAAATAAACAAAATTAGGAAAATACATTACACAAATCAAAAGAAAAATAAAACAAAAGGTATCAGAAGAAGAATAAATCTTATAATGTCTGCTCCTTTTATCCCCAGAATATATTCAAACTAAACAAATACAAAACAGTACAAATAAAAACAAAAACATCAACTCTAACAACAATTCATATAGTTTCTAATTTTATTTTTCCATATACAGGAGGTCTGCAACCTTTACGATCAAAAGAGCCATTTGTGCTCTGAGTCTCACTAATAAAATGTGTCCAGAGCAACAAAACAAGCTACAACTGTGATTAGCAAGTGGTGGTCCGTGGGCCTTTACAAGGCCTTTTTGGGAACCTTTACGGTCAGTGGAGGAGACATAAAACTAAAAAATATACATCATTAATATTATATTTTTTTATTATACACGTCAGGTCAAATAAAAATACCAAATTAATTCAAACAAGAAAAATGCTGTATGTAGTTTATAATGAATTTCATAAAAACTAGTACAACTGAATTACTCAGGCATTTCTTTTCTAATTCTTATTTTTATGTAGTCTTCAAATTATTTAAAGGTAATTCTGATGTATTTGAGAAAAAAAATTATAGAAAGAAATTGGAATATTTAACTGAACAACAGGCTAGCATGAGCTGACATTTTACTTTTTGTATTAGTAGTATTGATCGCATATTTTCATACAAATTGATTTCTGTTGTGGGTATAAAAAAACAAAACAAAACAATTATTCTGTTATATTTGGTCACATTTTCAAAGAGCCACTGCAGAGGGAGCAAGGAGCCACGTGTGGCCCCAGAACCGCAGGTTGCAGACCCCTGCCATATACCTTCAGAAAACTAGTTTTATATAAAATGCCTGATGGATTCGAGAAAAGAAGATCTGTAAGTTTGGTTGTTGGATTATTGAAGCGGTCAACAAACTACTAGCATGAGCTAATGTTTCACTGCTTGTATTAGTAGTTGTATTAAAAAAGCTAACCTTTTCTGTTGTGGGTATAAAAAACAACAAGCAAAACAATCTAACTTGTTAGTTTCGAAGCTTCAACGAGCTGCAGAGAGCGAGCCGCAGGTTGCAGACCCCCGTCACAGAGGAAAGGCTTCAGAATGTGATGAGGCAGAACAATCCTCAGCTAGTCCCACAACACAAGCAGCTTGTAATTCTGGTCAGCATCTCTCACCGTGAACAATGAAGGCCGAGCGCGGTGGCGTCACTGGAAGCCATTCACACTCCTGACTGCTAACACCACACTCGGGGAGCGTGCGTGTGCGGGCCGCCCGTCACCGGTCAGAGCGCGCTGAGGTCCGTAAGCCCCCCCGGACAAAAGGACCGAGGATGGGCACGCGTTTTTACGACTGGCTGCTCAGCAGTGTTTCAAAATCCATTCACAGTTTCCTGGCATCGAACTCTATCCCCCCCGCACACACACCACAACACACCACCCACCTCCCTAACCCAGCAGCACCTAACGCTCACACAGTCATAAAGCTGCAGAGAAGACATGAACACAGGCATGTTGGGAATCCCTGCTCTGTGTGAACRCGACATTTCTTTCTCCTCCACTCTGTCAGTAAACATGACTGTGTGTCAAACAYGTGGTATAAATATTAAAACAATACCTTCCCTGTATCCACCAGCCTGCAGACWTCGTCCAAGGCAGGTCCATCCGGAGCGTAAAAAGCCCACCTGTAGAACACTCCGTTTGATATGACGTTCTAGGAGACAAACAGAAAATAAAATGAAACTAGACATGGRTTTTTACSATGTAAAAACAAGTGTGCATTGTCATGTAGCATGTCACTGCAGCATGCCTTTGCCTGCAGCAGTGGACTTGCAGAATGAACTGYGACCAAGTTCAAATGTGTTTTCTAYACCAGCTTGTGCTTGTCAAGTCAGCAGGTATTTGTAATGAGGATAATTGTGTGACAAGATGAAGTGTGTAGAGATTWTTTTTGTTAAAGTTGCTGTAGCTGGGTTTTAACCTTGATCTCCTACATGAAAGCCCATGGCACTAACYATTAGACCATTGGAGCTGTGGMAGAGGGGATTGYCAGGAGTTGGTTTGTATGTGTGCAGAAAGAGGCCACATTGCCAATGCAATCTTTGACACTAAACTGCAATATATTACAACAATAGGACAACATTAAGACAGTATTACAGTAAAACATCAAAATACAATCATATTAATATTGTAATCACTGAACTACTGAGTTTAAATATTATTAAACTATGGTGCAGTATCATAGAAGGCAGTAATGGACCAATACAAGGCTCCATTGACTGCCATTGAAATGTATTAAACGTTAATGCTTCAAAAACTATACGTTTTACAGGTACCAAAAGGCATAGCCATCATTTGGCACAGGAGCTTTACAGATATAAATTACAATGGCAGCTCTAGGAGAAAGTGTGCAGGAGGAGAAGCATGCCAAATTTCAGATGACTTGGATGGGAAACGAATCRCAATAGTGTGCATTGCTTTGGCAATGCACACTGATAATACTGATGTGGTACTAAACGATACTATACTCATCACTTCCAGTTTCCAGAAATATGAGACCCATTACCTCGAAACGAGGATTAAATCTAAAAGTTATAAGTGGAGAAATAGGCAGATATAGTGTTTTGATTAAAACGCTTGCAAAAATTACATTTTGTCAAAATATAACAAATAAATGTAAATAAATTCTATAAGTTTTCAATGAAGAAGCTTTCAACTTTAGGAGATGTATTATAGAGGCATTCAACC